TGGGATGTACATGCTATCAGCCTAAATAAGAAAAAAACTACAGGTACCTATACCTGTAGGTATACCTAGCTGCAGTATTGAGGAAAAATGTGAAAGTGCATTGATATCTCCCTGGGTAAAACCCTGCAACAGTTAGTGATTTAAGGATGTTCTGAACTGACAACACAAGCCATTCATTTTAACAGCCACAGATGAACCTTTGCTCTGTGTATTAATCTAATTGGGTTTTAATCAATTCTTGCCTTTGGAATAAAAATATTTTATTATATAATTTATTAATCTATTCTAGAATTTAATTGCTAACATACTGAAATGCAGTTCCGTTTATAAACAGGAAGAAAATCCCAATCAGTGAAGAAAACTGTCTGATAAGTTGACTCAGCACCTTCAGTTTGTGGTACAAGGAGAGCTAGACTTACCGTGTTCCAAAGCTTTACTTACGAAAGCCATTTATGATTTTGTATACAGTTACATAATTTTATTCATCTCCCAATCAGTTTATTTTCCAGTAGAAAACTCATAGCCTATTTCTATCTGTATTCAGAAGCCATTACACAGCTGTGATCTTGTCACACTTTTCTTCATTTTTTTAGCTTAACAATATCCTTTTGGAGATGAGAAGTAAGGAACACCATATAGTACTTGAGTTGTCAGTACAGATGGATTTATGCAATAATGTAATGACATGTTGTTTCTATTCCTTGAGCTAATATTTTCATTGAAATATCAATAATAACTCTTTCAGGACTGATAATAGCTAGTGCAGAGGCAATCGTATTTTYTCCCTGTGTATTAATTTCCATTTCTTTGTTTCATATACCATTTTATTGCCTAGACAAACAGTTCTGTGAAATTTTTCAACCACTGTCTGGTCTAGCCTTATTTTAATTTTTCTGAATAATTTTTATAATCAATAAGCAATCATCTTGCTTTTTATCCTCTTTTCTAAACAACTTATGTATCTGTTGGAACAAAACGGGATTCGGCAAAGATTGCAGTGGTTTTCGACTGTTATTCATTTGCCTTTCTGACCTCATGAGAGATCATTCTTTCATGTGTTACGATGGCTTCCTTCCTTTAATGGCCTTTGTGGAATCTTGTAAAAGTCTGTTTGCTAGTCTAAATGTGTTGAACTTAATGCTTCCCAACGTCTCCAGAGAATTTTAGTATTGATAAGGGATAACTTGTGAGGCATCTGCAAAAAAAAAAACACAGACCCGAAAGAGCCACTATTTTTATCTTTAAGATGAATATCTAGATATGTTTTGATCAGGACCCATTAAAAAAAAAAAAAAAAAAAAGATAATGTAGTTAGTACATTGATACCGCACCTACTTAAGTAGAACAGTGGCAGTGAAAAACTTGAGTACATAAGAGTTTGTGGGAAAGAAAATCCTGCTGATTTGCTGCTTTTATCTTTTACCATTTTTTTCTAGAACTATTTCTGTTGACAATACATGCTAAAGTTATCATCACTAATTCTCTAGTGATTTGAGCAGCATGCTTGATTACCTGTTCATTGTACACCACTTTAAATAATTGGATTAATTTCTGTGTTATTTGCCTTTCATTGTTTAATCACCTGTCAACACTAAACAAACTTTCTGTTGGGTTCCATGCACTAAAAGCTTCATGGAGTATATTCCATGCTTAAAAACCTAAGTGTAAAATTGAAAGATGACCATACCCATTTCACAGGGGAGAATCTGATACTCTTTTTTCTCTTCACACAGCAGTAGTGCTTTGACCACCAGAAATTGAACCCAAGTTGCTAAAACCACTTCATAATTAAAAAGCCAATCTTTTCTACCAGTTTCTTCCATGTAATTGCTGGAATTTTGTTATTTTTTAACAAATAGAAATGAATGCTAATATGTTTCTTGCCAGTGACACAAAGGAGGAAAAGATTGATGTAGATGGCAGTTGAAGGGAGTACAATTTTTCTGCTTGCACTTGAGCTACACAAAATAGAGATAATGTGTTTGTGACACAGAGGCATTTTATCCTGTCTTTGCACTGGAGCAAATGTTTGCGAAGAGCATTTGGCAATAAAGAAAGAAGAATTCTTTGTGATTTTAGCAGCAGATCATATTTTTGGAAGTATTTGTTGGGGAATGCCCATAAAATTCAGGATGGGATTAATAACAACAAACTTTAAAATTTATTGGGAAATTGAATTGCAGATCCACAAAACTAGTACACCCTTTTTAAAAGATTGGTTTCATGTCATTATTGTCATGAAAAACAAGGGAAAATTCTCTAAAAAAAGTAGCTGTGTTATCTAGAGGTCTCTTGCTTTTTTCCTGGGCACTTATGATTGAAAGATGAATTTCTAAGATGTGAATCTAAAAAATGTGACCAGATATATTAGCATCATAAGCATACACATTTTTACATTTTTATTTCATATTCAAAAGGCCTAGCTAAAAGTTTCATGACAGTGCTTTTGTCTTCTGTATTCCTGTTGTTACGCTTCTGTTGTGTATATATATATCAATATGTAACTGCTAGAAATCAATATGAATAATATTGCTTCCTCCATTCCATCAGGTTTGAACGTCAAATGTTCTTTTAAAGCAAAGCCTTAGTTTTGGCTTTACGAAGGAGTTTTGTAGAATCATAGGATACCTTGAGTTGGAAGGTCCATTGAGCCCAATGCCTTGCTCCTTGGAAATAAAATTATTCCAAAAAAATTCAAATATGTAGTTGTTAATTGTAATTTTTAACTTGTTAAAACCCCAGGGCTGAGGAATTAATCAATACCAAAGGTGAAGTGCTGACTGTAATGTGCATCTTTTGCTCTCTGCCTGTCACTGAGGCTGTGGGGAGTTTAGTGTGGAGCATTTCTCTGTGACGTGCTGGCACCTTGGCATGGGCACTTTAGTGAAACACCCAATACTTGTTTTGTTGCCTGCGTTTGTACTGATTATAGGCAAGACTCTTTTGGTAGCTTTGCCCTAAGCTGCTCTGTACATAAAAGAGGTGACCTAAGGGTGAAGTTATGTTCCAATAAGTGCTTTTCTTAAGTACACTTTATTTATGTGTCTTACATTTAAAGTTGGTGTTAAAACTTAGAACAATGGTATGATTTGTGATAGGCATAGAACAGGTARTATTTTTATAGCTGTGTGAATCTGGAGGCTTTTTCATTGCTCTCTTTTAGCTCTTTTTTGAAGGATCTCTTCTCCTGATGCCGTGTACTACAATTCTTTGCATGTAAGATCATTCTGTCCTTTGTATAAGGTTCACTTTTGAGGGCTTAAAATACTTAGCTCCAAACCAAATGCCAGACTCTTTGTTAACACTAAATGATTACTGGCTTCTACACTATTAACTTTGTACAGCCTAAAAAGAGAATAATGAGGCTGTCAGTCAACATAGGAAGTTCCACAGCTATTAATTCATCTACTGTGCTAATGCTTATACAGATTTTTACCATGTGGCMCCTTCACAGAAGGCAGAAAATATCACTGAATGCAGTGAATAAAAAGACAAGAACAACTATATAAATGTGATGAAAATGAGCTTTAATCTATACAGAAGGAACAAGCTACATGATCAATAAAATCTCAAGTATTGATTGACTACAAATTGGACGGGGTAGTAACAAATTGGCTCTCTTGCTCAGGCAGTATATTTACACACCATTTYAAAGTGAGCGTGAGAGTCACTGGCTCACAATGTCAAAGGACAGCTGTACCATGACCAGCCAAGCTTGGTAATTAAATGGCACACAGGTTAATTGCAGAGGCAAGCATGAGACTGCTGTTAAAGGACTGAAAGGAATCAGTTGAAGAGTGGTGTCCAGTCTTTGTGGAGGACAAAAAGAAAYGCCATTATAAAGGGAGCTTTATCAGAGTACAGTAATGACCAATTCAGTTTTTATTAAAGCCTTATTTTAAAGTTATAATAGTATAATAGGGTTAGAAGCTGAATGAATTGCAAGAGTGAGTTTTGGACTGGTTAAAATTGTCATAAAATGAATCTAAAAGTGATCCCAAGCGTCCATACATCAGCCATTTTTTGGCTGGTTGGTTGGTTTAGGTTGGGTTTTTTTTTTTTTTTAACCTGTAGCCATGGCAAATTATGCTTTTGAAGATGCAAAATGGATTGATTTAATGCAAGGAGTACTAATGTATATGTTCAACACACTGTAGCAGTTTGTCTCCATGGATCAATTTTAGTATGGCTCAAAGGTTTTGATCAGTACTTAGTGGGGAGGAGTGTAACCCACCTTAATGAATGTTCTTCATATGGTTTATAATCTTTATAGCTTACTGCAACATATAACTTGGCTCAGCAGAGCACTCAGACGTGCTTAAATGCTGTGCTGAATGAGAATTATAATACATCACTCAGCATGTGCACCTGGAAAAATAACAACAGYACTACCATAAAAGATATGATGTCGTATATATGATTCTCTTCTCAAGGAAAGAGAAGCATGGCAAATGCTATTCATGTTGCTGGATGAATTACCCAGCTGCTCTAATGACAAAGGTGTCTATGAGGTCCTAAGCAGAACMGTAATACAGTGTAATACAAGTGCTGCTTTACTTTCTGTGAAGAAAAGCTTTTCCATGGAGATGAAAGCAGAAAAGAAGAAAGRGTTTTCATAGGTGCTTTGTGTACAATGTTGCAATGGCCAGTTGGATAGGAAAACAAGGTTGGTTTGTGAAAAATAAAATTTTATGATGCTTTGTATGTTGCTTTACTTTCTCCTTTGGCGTCCTGCTGTTGTTCATGATATAACCAGAAGGTAGCAAATTGAATTTTAGAAGAATGGGGAGAAACCCATCAGTATAATGGCTTTATTCTGATGTCTCAATTCTGGATACACATCTGAAGTTGTTCTTTATTACTTCCATAACTGTTGAAATTGAAGGCTTCTGCTTTAATGTTGTAACAGTTGTTATGTTCATTTGTGAYTATTCTGCTAAATTCACCTTGGTTTTGCCTCTGTTGCTTTTGTTTATGATTTTATCTTATTTTGTTTGCAGGACTGTTTCCTGCAGTGCTGAACCTGGCTACTAATGCTCTCATCACAACCAATGCTACCTGTGGAGAAAAGGGGCAGGAAATGTACTGCAAACTCGTCGAGCATGTACCTGGACAGCCTGTAAAGAACCCTCAGTGTCGCATTTGTGATCAAAGGAGCAAGATTCCACATCGTATGTGTACCATTTTAATTTTGTTCCTTTAAAAGATTTTTTTTCCAAAGGGTGGAGATACTCAGGAAACAAAACATTTGTTCACCAGCCCAATTTCTGTGAAATGTGTGTCTCTTTTAAAATCATGTTAACCGTCTCTTGCAAAGGTATTTAGGAATTTAAATCTGATATGGATACTCCTCCCACTGAACTTTCTGATTCAGGTACTGAAAAGCAGAGCACCTTAATTCAGATTAAAAAAAATGTATCTACAGTTGTTGTTGAATTATTTTGATATACACCGACCATGAATAAAAACCAGATGACTGAATTTTACCTACATACCTACATGTGGAATTTGAACATTTGGCCAATCTAAGCAACATCTGAAATTCCAGTAAATTCAGTTTCACCGAGACAGAAAAACAGAATAAAGTAATGGAGCGCTGCTTGGTTCTTGGTTTAATGCTTAATTTTTCATACTAAAATTGATCTTTGTTAACACTGCTTTGTTAAAGACTACCTGGAAACAAAATCAGTTTTCAAGTAAGAATTTGTTATCGTGTACTTCAGACATGTCTATTTCTGGCAGTTGGGAAAATCAGAACTGAGAAAATTTCTTAGTCAGGTCATACAAGTTTAATTTCATCTAACGTTGCAGTGAAAGACATGAACAGCTTTAACATGATTCGCTTTTCATGGCATAGATGGTAGAGAGTGTAGGGATACTTAAGACAGCTTTTAATGGAATAGATAAAATGTTGGAAAAAGCACAGACACAGAAGCATGAAGACATTTTTATTTTCCAAGTGTGTCCCTGTAAAACTTAGCTCAGATACATTTATACCTCATGACATTTAAGCATGTGCTTAAAACCACAGGATAAAAAAAAAAAAAAGGATGACATTTAATCTGTCTGCTAGTTCTAGACAGGATGAGTATCTGTGGCTGTAGCTTCCCAGACAGAAGCTTGTTTGGATTTCCTTAGAAACTTCCTCCTATGGTCACACTTTCTAGTGTGGCTCACTAATTTCATCACTCAAAACAAAGTGTTTTTCTGATAGCTAATCTTCATCTCCTTGCAGAAATTTACGTTATGTATTTCCTAAGTTCAGCTAATACAAGGAATTATTCCCTTTTTCTTAACAAAAGTATTTTACTTGATTAATGGAGTGTTGATGGCAATGCTCTATCTAGTTTCTGAACTAAGCTGTCTTTTCTTTTGTTATCCTCATAGAGTTCTAGAAGATAAAACCTAACTGTGTGCATTGCAGATCTCTGAATTCTCTCTAGGGGCTTTAATATGTATTAAAATTCACCTGAGCTCTTACTAGCACTACAGAGAGATCCAGGTTTGCTTCAGAAAAGCATATATTCCTGTTCACATCTTTTACTTTGATATTTCCCCTTTAAATTGGTGAAACAACACTGACAGTTGGATTACAAACCTCATATGCTTTCTTTTCCTGCTAAATTGCTCATAATCTTATCTTTATGAAGGTAGTTGTAATATGCCCAGTATATACTACTAATTTATCTGAAGACAGTTATAACCAATTTTTTTTCCAGATTGTTTTCCAAGTCTCAATGACTTCTTTAACTGCAGGAAATGCCACCTTCTGAGGGAAGGTCATATGATTCTTTAGCAGTAGTCACATCCAATTACATGATAGCAGTGTGTTTCACTCAGAGAAGAATTCAGTTTTTGGAAGCATTCCGACCGTGCAATAGACTTTCCTGTTTTACAGATGGGAATTTAGAGTCACATGCACGTTACACCAATTTTTTTCCTTTATGAAGTTTGATTATTTAAAAAATCAAGCCAGAGATGCTGCTTTGTCTATGATATCAGACAATGTACACTAGTAAATGTGCATACACACAAATATATATATATACAAAATAATACATACACACTATATATATATATATATACACACAAATAATATATACATACAAAAACCCATCTGAATGATTTATAGCTATCTTTCCTCTTGTTCCTACTCTCTTCTAAACTTGAATCTGCCCAGCTTCATAATATCTCATCTTTTGTTGACAATCATATCTCATTTTAAGACCTTCAAATGTTCATTTGGTGAAGGGAAGTGCCTTGTTTAAACAGAGATGGCTTGTTAATAGGAGAACCATGTAATATAACCAGACTTTAAATGATCCTGCCRGAATGTGTGAGTCTGGAGTGCCTCCCCTTAATTACTGTAGTAGGAAATGAACACAAATTCCCTGGTTAATCACATGTGAGTCTGAATTAAAGTGCACAGTTTGATGGGCTCACTCTCTTAAGTTCTCCCTCTTGCCATCCATCAGGGAGATTGGTCCTTGAACTGCATTTGCAGCCCAGTCCTTTTTACAAATATTGTATTTTCCCCCCTTACCTTTTAAATAATCAAAACATGCCAGCAATTAATCAATTTTCAAATTAATTATGATTAAACTTTCATAATGGTGATTACAGTTAATTGTTGATTCATCTCCCAATCCTCCTTCTGGTGGTTTACCTTTATATCAATTTAATCTGAAGAGACTTAGATCAAAATTTCCAATTAGACAGCTTCTGTCACAATCACCGAGGAGCCTTGAATTTGATTTACAGCTGATTTTTGCTACCATTCATTTAAAGCCAAGATTTGAGAAAATGATCAGAGCTGTGKTATCTGACAGCATGTAAAGTCTAGGGTGCTTTTTGCTTTTCTCTTCAATATRAAGATAAAGCTACTAGTAGCTTTATCAGCTRTAGTACCAGAATTCTAACTTGCAAATGTTGCTGCCCACTAATGCCATTTAATAATCTAATATTTAAATGCAATTTTTGGCATTTTCAATATTTAAGGTTTATGCCTTCACTCACTCCCACAAAGCTTTTTAATTGTGTCTTTAAATATGTTCAGGCATTCTGCTTCCCCTAAATGAGCTAGGACTCCTGTCCTCTACATGTGGTTGATGTGGCAAAAAAAAAACCAGAAATACAAAGACTGTCAATCTGGCTGGTTGATTTAAGTAATAATTAAAATAATAAGTAAATTATTCAGTTCATAAATTAATTGTTTGCAATTCTGGGCCTAGCTAATAGTGAATCATATTCCAGTTTTAAACCAAGAAAACCTTTAGAAAGTTATCCTTAATAAGAGGGGTAAGGTTTCCTTCTAATTCTTGTTCTTGCTAGCAGAACTTGCATCGAAGAAACTTACTATATTTGAATTTCCTTTGGGTTATTTTCTTCATAATGTACAGGTTTGCTCTAGACAATTAGGGACTTCAAAATATAGATCCTTGTACCTTTTCAAATTGTGGGGKTTTTATTCTGCATTTCATACAGGAGAAAACCACAAATTGACCACAAAAATAGCCTGGAAATGTTGAGTCTAAATAACATTGAAGTATTAAGTAAGCAAACTTCRATAATTTGAAGATCTTGAAATTCAGGAAAAATTCAATTCTGTTAATAAATTYGTATTGCTCTTATTTAGGATTCATATGGGACACTGCAGCAGAGTAAATATAGACATGAAAAATAATGCATCTTGGACTTTGATATGGATCATAACCAAACAAACCTTCTTTATATGCATGTATATGAGTCAGAAAATTTTCCAGTTGAGGAATTCTGYAATGATTTCTGAATCATTTCCTCTGTAATGATTTGTGAATTATTTCCTGAATTATTTCCATATGTGCTTAGAAATGCCAGTACCAGTATTATTTCAATCTCTGCTTTCCTTGTACACCATATCTCAGGTTTTTGATTCATTGTTTCTGTTGCAACATTTGATGACCTTGCAGTACTTGAAGCTATGGAAGAGTACAGGAAGTGTTCACTTCCTGTGATTTAGATGCCTACATTTYCCATAGCATCAGGACAGCTTTCTGCATTTAGATGCAACTAACATAAGAGTATTTGAGTAATAATATGCATGACTGGTGCCCCAAGAACACAAGAAAAGTTAATTAATTCTTTTTTTTTTTTTAAGTCCTGCCTCATTAGTTCTGTAATTGTCCTATAATCTAGAGTTCAGATCTAAAAATAATGAAATCTTCTAATAGTTTTGAATTTTGTTTATATATTTCTGCTGTTCTAACAGAAAGACACCCGATAACAAATGCAATTGATGGCAAGAACACTTGGTGGCAAAGCCCTAGCATCCAGAATGGAATTGAGTATCATTATGTGACCATTACATTGGACCTCCAACAGGTAGGCTTCTATTTGTTAGTTTCTGAAAAGGCTTTCTTTCTTGCATGATAGATCAYCTGGATTATCTTATTTTTTGCTCTRTGTTGCTTTCAAATATGAAGATGTGATCAGTTTCTCCTATAATTTTCTCTAGTTTGTATGGATATGACTGACCCATTTATTGTAACATAATACGCCAAATAAAAAATAGGTATTTCATATATATTTTTATGAAGTCATGCATAAAATTATTTCAACCATTATATTTTCACTGTTTTTTTCACAGTATCTCCTGGTTTGGTTCTTTAAAGACAAATGTAAAAAAAAAATTCAGGGAAAAAAATAGTATGAATAAAAGTTTATGTTCAGAATGCTATTCTTGTTTCAGTAACATCATGCTATGCATTTAAATGCACAAAAAATATTAAAAAGGCTTRAATACAATAAAAATGGTTCAGGCAACAGGTGCACATGATGGGTTACGTTGAGGGACAGCCTGGGGAAAGAGAGGAGTTTTCCTGATGAGATCCTTRAATTGACTTTTGTTAATAGAGTCTTCTTGGCAGAGGTAACAGGATGCAGTCATTTGATGCTTATGAAAATACTGSCTATGTTCTAGGTATGTAAGCAAGAGGATTTAAGGGAAGACGCAAAATTATTTTATTTTTACCCTGGCTTGATAAATACTGAATTATTACCTGCTACTAAATTTATTTATTGTGTTATTAAAGTTTGAAATTTTGGTATTCAGTTAAGTAGGTAACAACCCCCCYGCTAAAATCTTCTCTAATTTATGGTTGGCCCATATTTGTTTGCAACTTGAAGCAAAGAAAATATAGAATAATTTAGTTTAGAAAAGACCTTTAAGATGGAGTCTACCCATTAGCCCAGTACTAAACCAYGTCCCCCAGTGCCATCTACACATCTTTTAGTTCTTTCTAGGCAGGGTTGCTCCACCCTTTCCTGKGCAAACTGTCCCAATACTTGAGAACCCTTTCTGTGAAGGATTTTTTTCATAACGCTGAATCTAAACCTCCACTGAGGCTTGTCCTGCTGCTTGTTCCTTAGGAGAAGAGACAGACCCCACCTTGCTACAGCCTCCTTTGAGGCAGTTGTAGAGCTTGACAAGGTCCCCTTTTTTGCCAGATGGYTTTCCAGCCGCTCTTCCCAAGGCTGTTGTACATGGGGTTGTTGTGGCCCCAGGACAGGACCTGGCACTTGGCCTTGTTGACTCACACAATTGGTCTTAGCCTGTTCAGATCCCTCTGCAGAGCTTTCCTACACTCCAGCAGATCAACACTCCCACTCAACTTGGTGTCATCTGTGAAATGACCAAGGGACCACTCAATCCCCTGCTCCAGATCATGAGTGTTGGTGTTAAACAGGCCTCGCCCCAATGCTGAGCCCTGGGGAACACCATTCATGACCAATAACCAGATAAATGTAATTCCATTCACCACCATTTTCGGGGCTCAACCATCTACACAGTTCTTTACCCAGCAGAGTTCACATCTTCAAGCCAGGAGCAGCCAATTTCTCCAGGAGAATGCTGTGGGAAACAGTGTCATGATCTGTTTTGCAGGTGTTAAGAAAAGAGGTATAGGGTCCTTTCTTTGGCTCACTGGAGAGAGATTCCCCTTCCTCTGTGATTTTTTTTTTTTTAAGTCAGCTTTCTATTTCAGTTTCTTATTATTGGTTTATCAGTTTCACTTGAAAACTGTCAGTCCTTATCTCCCTTCTTTCTCATTTAACCATACTTAAGGAGGACAGTAGCTRTTTATCAGCTATAGAGGCTTGAACAAAGTACATTTGTCAGGAAATAAAAAAAAGAAAAGGAAATGAAAGGCAGAGCATTGAKACTTGTTGTGTACTCATACATACAATTTTGAGATCAAACTTAGTTTTAACTTAGTCCAGAGCTCAGAATTCAGTGAAGTTTAACAAAGTGTAATTCTTGTGTTTCTAAGTTGGTGTACTTTATTTCTTTAAAAAAAACCAAAAACCTATGGACCAAATGATGTGACAGTAAAAATTATTGTTAGTACCTTTCATGTGTGAGACTGAAGTATTTGGAGGGCAGTAATTTTATATCTGGAAGAGCCTTTGAATCCTGGAAGTATTATTAGCATTCTGGCTTTGGAGCCCTCATTGTTAGTGACAGAAACAATCCTACATCTGTGTCTTTGGCCTTATATATGCAAAAGTATTCAATGTGCATTTCTCTTTCAAACAGGAGAGCTAAAACTTTTTGCAGAAGTTTGGGAGTAGGGTCCTGTGCGTTAAAGAGATTGGGTTTTTTTTTAAATGTCTTTTCAATTTTCAAGGTTATTAACTGGTTTGCTTTTACAGCAAGGAATTGTGCCTCTTGTTTTTTGTGAGCTGTTAATCTGTGAGTAGCTCTCGGGATTAGAACTAAATTTCCATCCTTATTTTTCATCGTCCTAGTGATTTTACTTGAGTAGTTGTTTAGGTCAGATGTGCCAAACTAGGTCTTTACAAGTCCTGTTTTTCCCTCTGCGATTTCATTATCTAGATTATCATAAGAAATAAGCAAATTTGTGAATGTCTGAAAGTTACAAGTTTTCTCATGTACTAAAAGCTAGCAACTAAAGGGTCAGTGAGGATACTGGAGAAGTAAAATGGGTTGTTCTAATGTATTTAAAAAGCTTCTTCACGTGCCAGCTGACAGCAGTCTGAGAATGCTGCACTGTGTGTGGTGTGGACTTGTGGGTTTTTTGTTACTATTTTTTTAAAATGAGACGAGGCTCAAGTCTGACCCTGTTTCTTTCCCATGTTCTATTACTAATTGTTCAAAGGAAACTTGGCAGTCTTTCTGCAACTCTAAAGCTGATACCTTCTCTTAAGCCYATTCATTTGTTCCTGGCTGGAATAGATGCAATGTTGAGGTTTCTGTGGATGTCAGAGAGGTGGGATAAGACCCTGTGTCACTAATGCTATCTGGCACAGCCTTTATGATCTGAGTAACCCATGTAGCTCAGAATGCATGCGATTTTACCCTCCACACTACATGAACAGAGCAAGAATTGTTCCCCAAAATGTAGTAAAAGATCTGCTGCAATTTGCATGGCTTTTAGACTGTGCAGTAAGAAATAAGAGTTGTTGGGGTTTTGAGAAGTATTGGGAGTTTTTGTTTGCTTATCCAGGAATTTCATAGTCAGAGCATTATAGATTAAGAAACTAACCGGTAGAATACAAAATTTCTCTTTCAGCTACTATTTTGTGTTGAAGACACTAGGAATGGTGAAGGTCACCAGATATCTTTGCGACCTCACTTAAAAGAAATTCCATTCTTTACCTTTGGCTTTTAGGAGATTCAGTAATTGCTATGTTTATGTTGATGAATTCTTGCTTTAAGTACAAAAATGCTTAACTTCCTTTTGTGAGATAGAAATAACAAATGACAAATCCACAAGTAATGGACTGAAAATTGCAGGAATGCATTAGTTTTTATGTTATTACTAGTAATTATGATAGTACATGGAATGCTTTTAGCAATCCTAGTTTCATGAAAAAATCAGGAAAATAATTACAATTTCCTCATCTATATAATGCTTGGCCTTTTGGGGCAACTTTATTGTGCAGGGGAGCCACATAAAAATGATGTATACTATTTACCAATAGCTAATGAACTAGAAGAAGTAAAATATACTTAATGTTAGAACAAGCCAAAATATTATCAGTTCTGTTGGGAAAAATGGAGTATTTTTTCTTGTTTTCTCTCAACAGTTGAGGTTTCCCTTAATACTTATAAAGAGCTTTTATCTATAATGGAGGCTAGGTTTTTAATTCATAGAAGTATGCTTGAAATTTGTACCCCATCTATTATGAAAATATGAGTTGAAAACTGGAACTSTTTGATTCTGAACATCTTTGATAATTTGCTCTTAACCCTTCACTTTTCCCCACTTTTTAGCCATTATAACAATTCTCATCTATATCACCAGAAAATTGTGGAACGCCATTCATACCTCTAAATGTGAAATTATTTTTTACAGCCATCATTTTTCATCCAGCAAGTGCATAGGAGGTCAAAAAYACAGATTTATTTGTGAGTTTCCTYGCACGAATTTAAATGGAGGTTAGAATGACAGGTTGAGCTACCTTGGTAGATCTGAGTCTGGGAGTGGGAGGTTTCACAGATGTGCTAGGTACCAAGAGAAGCTGTCTGCTGTTCTGCAGCTCTTAGTTGTGCTGGCTGGGGAGGGTCTGTCTACTTTGCCTTAAGAGAGTTGGGCAGTTCAAGTGCAACAGAGGTAGTTCAGGTAGTGAGTGAAACATTTAGTAGGACCAAAAATAGGCCTTCTCTTCAAGTATTTCAGAGAAGGGAGTTGGCAAAACAGAAATTCTTAGACTTCAAGGGAGAACATATTCCCTGTACTCATGCTATTCCCAAATCCTCGGTTGGTTTAGTTTCACAGTGGTGTGGAAGATTAGTAGAGTATCTTTAAAGAAAATTGGCAAATTCGCAGGAAARCCAGTTGGCAGTTTGAGGTGAAATGGTCAGCCCATCTGTTTCTGATTTCTACACACATCAGGACTCTTTTATTAACAAATTCCCAGCTGCTCTAGGGAACAAGGACATTGGCAATATCCTTGGTACTGCTGAGATACTTGTGCCAGGAGCATATTTATGTGCATTTAGACTTTTTTTGCTATGCACTTCATATTATTAAATGATGCTGGAATAYTCTGTGCAAACTGTAGATGTGTAGAACTGAGGTGGACCCAGAGTTAATGTTCCTGCAGAAATTTCTGGATTTAATAACTATGTCTTAATTGCCTGAGACTGTGGAGGATCAGTTCAGTGCCCARGTAATTATTTCCAGGCGTACATATCTGAAGAAAAAGAAAATAATTGAYGCTCCTCAGAGTTTTGTAAACTGCAAGAGCAAGAATAAGAGCAAAAATAATTTCACATTAAGCTATGTAGCTATTTCTCTCTAAAAAACTTACACTTCATCAATTTGAGCTCTGATAGCATCCAKCTCTTTTACCTTATC